GGGTTTTGGTACTTTTAAATGTTGTAAAACTCTTTTATGTTTGGACTCTTGAGGCAAGTGAATCACATGAAACAAGATAAAACACAAAACTATTATTCCCCTACTTATTATTATTCTCTTTCTATTTCAAAAAATAAGAAAACATAAATAAATTTTTTGTTATATTTTTGTTGATATAATATGTCTCGTAATTGGTTTTCAATCACAATCTTGACCTAAGATTTACATACCTCTAAGTTTTAAACCGTAATTATTATTGAAAGGCAAATTATATAAGTGCAACAAATGCTCGTAAACAAATGTAAATGAAATCCATTTTAAGATGGACTTTTTGAAAAATGACATCTCAAAAAGTGTCTAATATAAAATTCTTTCAAATTGATTTTTTGTGGGAGTTACTCTTTTAAAAGTTTATTTTGTTATTTACACTCAATCTTTTTATATAGAAAATGATCTTTTATAGTCAACAATCTATATCTATATAATGGATCAATCCTTATTTCCATAATTGACATGATTTTGGGCGGAAAAATTTTTTCGTCTATATTTGACGTTTAATTAATATTTATTTATTACCAAATCTTATGCATGAAAAAAATAATTAATTTCTATACACTCAATGACTATTATTCATTAACTACAAATTGGCTTAACCATGGATTAATTAGATATATTTTCAGTAAGATCTATATTAATTTAATAGTAATTTATTGACACAATTCATAATATTAATATGGAAATCGATTTGATTATATATATTATCATATGTGGTTGTAGGTATTAATTTAATTAATTATATTCACCATTCAAAAGTACTTGAAATGTAGTCAATTTCACTATGTTTAAATCATCATAACTTAATAATAATTTAAAATAAGAATAACATTTTCTAAAATGTAGTCAATTTAACTATAACAAAGTACATCCCCATTGAATATATCATATGCAGTGATAATAATATTGAAATTTAAATAATATACTAATAAAAATAAAATTTGATGGTCAGATGCAATTCAGAACTATAAATTTCACTAAAAGTATCTATGTACATTAAAAGACTATTCAATTTTAAATATATTTTTTTTTCTTATATAATATTTTATTAATGAAAAATAAGTTAATAAAAAAGCAATGTATAATAATTTATAATTTAACACATGGTAATTATGGAAATAGATAATATATCTATATATTCGAATAGATACTATGTAACTCATTATATAGGTTGAAAATTTGAATTAAATAAATAAATATAAATAAACATAAAAACATAAAAATAAAATATTTAACCATAAAAAAATTTGTGTTGCATAAGGATTATAGTTACTAAAAATTCAAATTTATTTATCAAATTTTTTAACATTTAATGCATTTAATCTATCTATATATTAAAAGAAGAGATGCGCTCAAATGAGAATGAAACACAATGAAAGAAATAAGAATGATTTTAGACCATTGGATCTATTACATCAATGATTATGATCAAGTCAAACTTTAATAAATAATGGTCATTCATTAATGGCAATATAGTAAATAAGTGGTAATATTATGATCAATTATATATCTTTGATCACTAATTAAGGATAAAGTGGTCACTAAAAATAATACTAGTGGGACCTACATCCACCATCTCCCAAAATCACACATCGTCACCTTCATCTTCTTCATTCTTTCACACAGTGCACGCTCAATTTACAGAATAGCAGAAACACACACACACACGCACTCGCCGGTCGCCGCCACCATACGACCTCACACCGGCGACCACCCAGCGCCGACCGCCGCCACATACCACACCGCTGTGAGATCCACCTGTCCCGTCGCAACGCCACTGCAACCAGATCTGCCGGAATCAACTCCGCCTCTGCAACCAGCCTTACTACCGTCGTCCTCCACGCTGGTGACGGGCCCGGCAAGGATGGTAGTTGTGGCGACCAATAGACGTGCTTGACGGTAACTATTTTTTTTTGGGAAACCGCCGTCGGACCGGCGAGGATGGCCGGCAGTGATCGTTCGCCGGACTGTACATCGGAGGCGGCGAGCGGCGGCGCTGTTCTGTTTGGAGAATTCAGTTTTGGGGTTGAGGTCTTTCAATGGCGAATTACATGTCTTTCAATAGCGGTCATCTGTATTAACTATTATGAAAGGGTTCTCATAAATTTTAGGGGGTTGTATTCAATTGCAACTTTTAGAGACTTTTAAAGACTTTTAGAATTCTGGTGTATTCAATTAGAACTTTTAAAGACTTATGAAAAGTTTACATGTATTCAATTGAGACTTTTAATGACTTTTAATAAGTCTCTAAAAGTCTCAAGGTATTCAATTAAAACATTTTGAGAGTCTTTATAAGTCACCCTATATTCAAAACAGAAAGATTTTGTGAGACTTTTTAAATTTTGAGACTTTTGGAGACTTTTGTAACAAAATTACAAAGGAAAAGTCTCAACAGAAATCTCATCAATATTGGTGAGATTTTGCTGGACTTATGTGACTCTTTTCACGCTCTCTTTTTTTTTCTTTCTAACACGACTTTGTATCTCATATCATTTTCATGCTCTATTATTTTACTTATTTATTTTGATACTTTGTGTAAGTTTTATTTTCATTACATATTATTGTGATCTTTTTATTTTATATATTCTTTATTATGCTTATTTTATGTGTGTATACCTTATTCTCTCATTTTGCTATCTTGTGAATTTGACTTTTCAAAGGTTAATGCTTCCATAGTTTCACTTGCAAATAATTTATTTGTTCTTTCTTTTTATTTGTAAATGTTTATCTCAAAATATTAAAAAAAAAATATTTTATTTTCAAATAGTTTATTTGTTAATATTGAAGTGTTTTGAATATTATTGATAATTTTATAAGATACAATTACTGTTTTTCGGCATGTTTGTATCTTGTAAAAATATAACCTAATAATATTTTTCTAATATAACAACATTATGCAAAAAATATAAAAAAATAAAATCAATAAATAATTAAATAAATATATCTTAATTTGAGTTGATTATAAGTGTCGTTATAGTAGATATGTCTCACACATATTTGACCTTGTACTCTTTTAACAAACAAATATAAGGCCCTGCTCGATTCGACTCGTTGAAACTCGGATCGATTTACTCGTTTAATAAATCTAAAATCCTAAAAAAATTGTTTGTGAATAACTCATGTCGCATAAAAATGAGTTTATTCATAAATTTTTAGAGGATTAATATATACAACATCTTTTTGTTTTTTCATTTATTCTTGTTTATATTAGTTATTTTGTTACGTTTATTAATATTTTATTCAAACATAATATTATAACTGCAAGTATATAAAAGTCTCAATAAGTTTTAAAAAGTCTATTATGAAAGTCTTAAAAAGTCACTGATGAAAATTCTCTGAAAGTCTCAAAAAGTCCACCAAAATCATGAAAGTTTTACAAAGTCCACAAAAGTCATCAAATTTAAAAAGTTTTAAAAAGTCCTTAAAAGTTTCAATTGAATACACCCTCCTTATATTTTATTATCTAAGTCATTTTAATGAAATGGTCGAAAGATCGGGAAAGCTAAGCTAAGCGCGTTGTGTACTTATTTCAATAATGTAAACAGTTACTTATAAACAATTCATCATTTAGTTTGTGCTAGACTTCAATCTATGTTTATTTCAAAATTTAATTATTTGACAGGGAACATGTACTTTATATAGTTTATTATCATTTTAGCATTTAGGGGACTTGCATGATATTTTATTAACTTTTAATTATTTGCAATTAGGTACATGATGCAAATCTTTAATTTAATGAAAGATTTATAAATGCAGCATGTAATATACACAATATTTTTAGCGCAATAAAACTTCAAGTAATATATATATATTTTTTTTCACGAATTAATAATTGTGTCCGCTTACACATTTAAGAGTTCACAAACTAGTCAAAATGCCACCGCGATAACCGAGTTTTGACTTAAGAATAGATAGATAATTGAAGGGAAATTTTTAGCTCGATTGGTTTCGATTCATATTGTGCAAAATAATAATTATCAATGTGCAATTCGTATAGCACTATCGTGCATTCACAACGCATACATTTTTAATGATTTGTTCAAAATCAAACTAAACCCGAAATTGATCGCTTAATTGAATTACCGTATATAATCTAAATAATTTTTTATTTTTACTATAAAAAATATATTTAGTATTTTAATATTCATATTTAATATTTTATATTATTTTTCGTTGAAAAAGCGTAATAATAAAATATTGAAATTTACAATGTGCATTTTGTATAACATTATTTTGTATTCTATCGATCGACATTTTTTATGTGCATTTCTATTTTATAGACTTTAACAATGTATTTTCTATTAACATTATTTTCTATTTATCAATTTAGTATATAATGAAAATATATTTACTAGTTTATTTTATTTACTATGTTATATTAACTGTTGAAAACAAATAGTATATATATATAGATAAAATATAAAAATAATACCTTTTATATTGTTCGGTCAGTTATGTTATTTATGTAAATAGAGCTTGAAACCGAGCGAAAATGACTACAATTTAAACATATCATGTGAAAATGTATACTATCATAAGGTCTTTTTTTTTCCGTCATATAGTGTTTATTGTGTGGAGTACTTAGTTTGCATTTTTTAATGCAATAATGTGCATTTTATCTAGCATTATTGTGCAGGGTGTTAGTCACTAACGTGCATCGTATTTAAATTAAGTATTTTTAGATTTATTTATTTTTTTTGTTGATATCGATAATGTGCATTTGCACGAACACTAATATGCATTTTGTCTAATACTATTGTGCAATCTGATATGCGTGTATATTTTTATGTATTTCAATTTTAGACAAATTTGATAATGTGTATTCAAAAATTAACGTTATTGTGCAGTCCGATAATCACTAATGTGCATCATGTTTCACACCATCAGTGCATTCTGCAAAGTTAGATTTTTTATTTGCAACTCAAACTAATAACAAATCAATATAATTAGTTTATTGGATTGATTAAGGGATTTAACCTAATTAATTTAAATAATATATGATTTATATTATAATTTTTTTATTTAATATTTCAATATTTCTATTTATTAATTTATATTATTTTAATATTTTAAATTTTTTAATACAATTATTTATTATATTAATATGTGTATATATATAAAGAAATATTTTGTAAATATTAGTATTTCTATATTTTTATTTAATATTTTTCTATTATTTTTTTGAAACACATAGTATATATGGCCTTGTTTGGCGATCAGCGGATAGCAGATAGCGGATAGCGGATTGTATTAGCGGATAGCGGATTGTATTAGCTGATTTGACTAGCGGATTGCATTAGCGGTTTTTAAATAAGTGTTTGGTAAATAGCTGAAAGCTTATAGCTGTTTGACATTGCAAATTACCAATAAAGACATTTTATTATTTAGGGTGTATTCTTTTAATAATAATATATTAAAATATTTAATATTTTTTAGTTGATAATTTATAAATATCTATTTTTTTAAAAAAAAAAATTACTAACAATTGATCAAGAAGTTATGAATTTTACATTTTTTAGATAAATTAATCATATAGATGACATATTATTATTTGTTAGCATCATAAACCAATGTAGATTGTAAAATAAATAATACAAATTAAAAAGTTCTAAATTAAAATTGTAGATTGTGAATCATCTATCCCCAAAAACCTCCTCTAATGAGCTTTTTCTAAATTAGAGTTTTGGGCCTAAAAAGCTTATCAAATAAGCTATTTACCAAACAAGCTCAATAGCGGATTTGACGGGTCTAACCTCTCAATTAAGTCCAATCCTCTAATTTATCCTCAATCCGCTATCTTCCAAACGGGGCCTATATGTATGAAAAATATAAAAATAATGTTATATATTATACATAATTACACATTTAACCCAATGTACTCAATTGAACATACCCAACATTTCATAAATTATATTGAAGTCCTTTACTTATATTTAATTCACAAAATAAGGCCCCCAAATTGTGGAACCTTCAACCCCTAATGTTCATGACTACACTATCAGTACGGCGGCAGCGGTCGGAAGGCGGGAATGCGACTTCGGCAGCGGAATGAGAAGACAACGGCGGTATGGCGGGCTGAGACGGCGACGGCGGTTCGTTGGCGTGAGAGATACGGTTGCGTACGACTGATCGGCAGCGAGCAATGGACGGCTGCGACCTAAGGGGTGTGGAGGTGGACCGACGAAATCGAGGTGATCTGCTCTTGAAGTGGCGAGGTCGACGACTCGTGGTGGTGGAGGACGGCCGCTGATTGTCTAAGAGTCCCTCCGGCGGTCAAGGACGTTGCTGGCGGAGCTTAACTGCTCCGGTGGCCGCATACACCGATGGGCAGATACTGGTGAGAAATTAGACGACGGTGACCTAAGGCTGAGGGAACAGCCGAACAATTTTTTTTTTTTTTTTAAGGAAACAGATTTCTTGGTTGCAGAGGTTGTGTGTGTGTGTGAGAGAGAAGGGGGAGGGGAAGAGAGAGAGTGAAATTAAATGAGGAAGGGACGGTGATGAATTTTGTTTAGTTGGAGTTGGGACTTGGGACCATTGATGATGGGCTGTGCGAAATGTCAACAATGACCTTAATTAATGTAATGTTGTTGCGTGTTTTTTACCGTATGATGAGCGAATCAAATGACTGTCATTTATTCTTATTTCTTTCATTAAACACCATTCTCACCGGAGCGCGACCCTTAAAAGAATAACCTTTTTAAGGATTCCTGCCAATTTTTCCCGCCAATATATGTATATATAATCACCCGCCAATTTCAGTAACAGTGTCCTAAAAATTAGCAATTGTCTTTCCTGTTTTTTTTTTTTTTTGGTAGATAGGGTAGTCAACGACTGATTTATTGAGTAAATAGGGTAACAAATCGGTTGATTTATTGGGTAGAATTTGTTATTTTCTTCCCTTTTTTTGGTATCAAAATAAATATTTTTAATTATTTTTGGTATCAAAACTATAAATTTTCAAATTGTTTGTAATCAAATATTTTTAAATGGAACACCATAAATTCGGTATGATTTTATTAAATTAGACTTATAATATTTTAGATACTTAAAACAAATTGTTTATACATTTTTTTACATATTCGTCTATATATTTATACATATACACATAGACATTATGGATGTTAAATTTAAATATATGTAGACATGTTTTATTTATAAAATAGTCTAGAAATTTTTTTTTACACAATATTAAATTCAAATATTTTTAGATATGTTTTTCTTCATTATTTAAAAAAGTTGTAGGTGATTTCACATCTTTCAAAAATCATATAGAAAAATTTGAATACTATTACATATACTAATATAATATTTTAGGTGTTTTTAATATTAAACGTACAAATTTTATATTCTCTTATACAAAATAATGTAAATTTTATATTCTATTATACAAAATAATTTTACATTGTTTGACCCCGAATGTTTAATTTATAATTATTAAGTATTGTTTATTCTCCTCTTTAATTTATAATTATTATTTTTTTCTTCCTCTTTTTTAAATAGGATCAATAGTAATTTCCACTTCCGCCATTGAGTGACTCAAACTCGAGATTTATTTATAATATTGTTAATTTAATATTGTTCCCGTGCATCGCACGGGGTGTACACTAGTAATTATAGCGAAAGATAAATATCATGAGCTAAACGTAGGTCACTTATCAATCAATTTGCAAATCTTAAATTGTTAAAAAAACAAATATACGACTATGATAAACGACAATTTTATAAGTACATAAAGTAATTTGTATACAAATATCATATGATCTTATACATTTATAATATTTTCAAAAACTTGTATATAATAAAATTTATATATTAAATAGTCAAAAACTACAAAAAATGAATTTATAAAAAATAGAAATTAACGATGATAGTAAATAAATAAATGTCCTATTATTTAAATAGAATATTGTGGAGAATATAATTTCATGTTGTCTTAAGTAATTTTATAATATTTGAATAAAAAAATATTTCTTGTCTTGCACCCCGTGCATCGCACGAGTATCAACACTAGTTCGTTACAAAAATGCTTCCAAACACATACGCTAATATTCATTGGCAAGAGTTTTTTTTTTTTTTAAAAAAAAAAAAAACCTAATAATTACTCATAGTTAACTACTCATTTTAACTTTCACACAACTATGCGTTTATTGGCTGCTTATTTGTTTATAGGAAAAGAAATAATTGACGGCTGACCTACATGTCAGTGTAGTGCTATATTTAAGGAATTAAAAATTAATGCAATAAACAATTTGAAGAGCAATCATTGGAGGATACCATATACATGTTAACGGTAGTATGAGCGTTGTGCATACAGCACTACTGTATTACTTACAAGAAAATAAATAGCTCGTTAAAATTGTCGCTATTTAATAAATAGTTTTTTTGGCAGCATACCGTTATTTGTATTCATGTGCAATTTAGCCGCTAAATCTCACTAAATCTTCGCTATAGCTATAGTGTCATAAACGATTTAGCCCGCTATTTAAAGCCTTGATTACTTAGCAAAATTAGTTACTACTCCCTCCTATTTTTAATATATGTCGTTTTGAGAAGTTGTACATTAATTAAAAATACTTTTTTTTTGTCAATAATAAGGAAAACTTCCTTATAAATCCCTAAACCTCTTTTACTTTTCCTTCTCAGTCCCCACACAAATTGTTTTACTCTGCACTCCCTACCCTCATAAACAACTTCCACTTAACTCCCTATTCTTAAAATAAATCAAAAATAAATACACAAATGACATCACCCCACGACCAATCTAACTTTACATATTATTTTATTATTTCTCTCTTTCTTTTCTACTACAATCTTTGTTAATTTTTTATTATTTTTTTCTCTATCTTTTGATATAATTTTTTATTATTTACTTTTTATCATCTTCTACTACTAATTTTTCTTAATTTATTATTAATTAATGTAAATTTTTTTTTGCATAAATTATCCAAATAAAAAAATATATTATATTAATGTTTTTCATATAAATCTATATTATACTAAATCTATAAATCTATATTTTTGTTGTTCAAATTTATAAACTGATTTTCTAAAATTAAATTTATAATTTTTAATTTTATTAAAATACATTTATTCAAAGATCTATCTAATTTTCAAGAGGAATATATATCAACTAGTACGATATCCGTGTACTACACGTGTACGTAAATATATTAATATTTGTACAATAGAAAAACTAAAATAATTTATATAAAAATTATGAATAACCAACAAAGTAATAAATAATTCAAAATAGGGTCCGTATTTTTGCAATTAACTTTCTTATTTTATTTAAAATCTATGCTAAAACGCATTAAAATGTTATTTTATGGTGTATTACTGAATTAGATTCTTATTATATTTGTTCTAAAATAATTTAGGTTGTATTCATATTGTTGAAATTATTTTTTTTAATAAATATAGTTTTATTTATAATGATAGATGTTATTATTTTTTATTTTATATATGCAATATGGATGTCAAATCGAAAATCATTAGAATATGATTATTTTGAGATATAATATATAAAATTAAAATAAAAATAAAAAATTATAAAGATTTAAAAATAACAAGAATGCATCTTTATTATAACAATTTTTATATGAATTAAATAAGAAAGAGTAAGAGTAGTATATGGTAACTTGAGAAAAAAAAAAAGAACCTAAAATAGTTTATGGTAATTCTCAAGCCTAAAATCGAACATGTATATTGTCGATTCAAAGCATATAATTATGTCAAATAAACTTCTGAAACATATGAGTCTGCCACTTAGGCTCAGGATATTCAAAAATTATATATCGGGGCTATTAATAAAATTATAATTAATATCTTATGACAAGTAATTATAGGAATATGCTAAATTGATAATTATATCACCTTGATTTTACAATAA